CGGGATGAATTAGAAAAATTGATCGAGAGTTTCGTGCGTGGTCTATGAACTTCTATGTCTGCGCCGGTGGAAAGGTGCCCGAAATTGGGTTACGAGCGTGAGGGTGAGTTTAACCCTTTATGAGGCTATTCCAACTTCGCAGTTGCACAATGGCATTGTTCTTATTTCCTACGTAGTGTCACGCGGTGCCTTCCGCAGCTCGTAGAAACGTCATTGCGCTGTTTTAAAATACTGTCACGGTACTGAAGACGAAATTACGCGCAGTGTTATAGCTTCGTAAAAATCAGCAATGCGATAAGCACGAAGATTGCACGAGAAATCGATCATTTTCACGAGACGAATCACAGCACATGACTCTTTAATTTAACGGTTCAATACCAAAGATATTTCAATTCTCAGTCAAAACAAGTATGTGCCAACACAAAATAATATGTTTAAATATTCACACGTTAATGAAATATTTATTTATTCAGTTATACTTGAGCGAGGACGCGTTAAGCTGTGCACTGTGCGTAAAAACTGATTTCCACCCTTGGGCGCTGCGATCACGTTTAAAAGCAATATGCTCGGCGAATGAACGACGTGGAAAGTTTCACCGTTCATGTACTTGGCAGCGCAATTGGAGATCCGGAAAAATTGCCGATCTACGTACGATCGTAGAAATCTCCGGCTCCTAAATTCGAGACGGGAAACTCGAGATAAGCGCCGCGATAAAGTACGAGCGCAGAGACGAAACTCGAGAAGTAATAACTCCCTGAGGCGATCTCAATATTTGATTTCTATCGATGACGCAAACGGGACGGGATTCTTGATAACATCGGCACGACACTACGTTTCGCGAACGTATTTCTGGAACAAACATGTCGCCGTGTGTATCTCGTCGAAAAAGTAAGCATCCATCTTCGTATTCTGTTACGTCGATGAAGATCGCAGGGAAATATCGGCGCGGAAAAATATGGTATTCCAATCGAGGGGTTTCAAACATGAGGATATGCGCGCGCGCGCGCGAGTTTGCACGATATTTTCCGCGTAATTTCGTCCCACGTAGCGCAATCCAATCTAATGGACATTACACTGAAAGCGTGTGAGTCTAGTTTTAAAACATTGCTCGCTGTTTGATTAACGCTATTACAAGCTGTGCGTTGGTTTTAACAAGATACTCGAGGCTGCAGCTGCAACATCCGGAAAGTGCTATATGCAAAGTCTACAAATGATTCGTAATCGAACCTCTCACATTTTACATAGAATCGGAACTCATTCGCGCTGCCTCTTGCCACGCTTTCAAAATATCAAGGGTTGCGGGCTGCATCTTGTTGTATCCCCTCGCAGCCAATTTTGCCTGCTGCATCCACGATTGTATCTCACGACGAGGATAGACGCGACGCCTCGCAAAAATATTATATCGGGTATCGATACGTCGCACAATCAGATAAGGGCCCCGAGAGGGGTCCCGCTGACTCGGTCGTTTCTCGTCGCGATGGAATCGCGGTCCGCTTTTATTTTCACAGCCAAGTATTTCGATGACTCAACCGCCAGACGGACATTCTCGTCGGGGGACGAGATCGTCGTCGTCGTCGTCGCCATCATCCGCTCTCTCTTTCTCCCCCTCTCTCGTCGGAGAGAGAAACGATACTTAAGATGATCGCGACCATGAGAAATTCCTCGAGCGTTCCCGGGATGAAGAAGTAGATCGTCTTGGCACAGATTGCCGATTTGGACAACGCGATCGGCCAGTGACCCCGTTTGCACCGAGATTATAATTATCTTGATTTGTTTCTTGCAGATCAACGAACAATTTCCATCTTTGTGTTTCGAAATACTTTAATAATAAATATAAATATATATAGGTAATTAAGTAAAGAATCTGATTTTGCAGTAACATATTTGTTTAATAATATCCGCAAATGATATAAAAATTAAGATTTCATATCCTAGCCGTTAGCTCTAAATAATAAAGTCATCAGAGCTAAATGACAGTCTGTTCTATGAAATTAAGATATTTTTATCATTATATTTTAAACTTTAAAGCATCTTGGCATTTTTTTACGTAAAAATAAAACGTTAATAATCTGTAGGTGTAAATTTAAAACGATCTAGGTTAATATTATAATATACGTTATTCTTTGTTACATAATATGAAAATAAATGATACGCCGCGTAAACTAAGAAAAATGATCCCGTAATTGGTATGTTGAAAGAGGGGCGATGCTTCGGCATTAACTGAAAATCCGTTAACCGAAAATATCGTTTAATTCGACGTTACGTAACGCGGGGGAATTCGATTTACCGCGAGCGAATATTTACGGACACGTACGGCGTTTATCCACGTGGCATCGAGCGGCAACCTCGATAGCGATGCGGCTGCAGCGAATTATGCACGCGCGAGCAGACGATGAGATCGCATCGCGGCAAGCTCGCCCGAAATTGATGCGCGATAATAATACGATCAGGTGGAAAATCGAGCCCCGACAATTGTGTGCTAAGCGCTGTCGGTCGATAACACGTCGCGAGATTTCGTAGAAGTGATAACGAAGTGACGATAATAGGGACTAATAAGCAACCAGGGAAAACGCTGATCAAACGAATACAGAGAATATGTGTTTACGTCCTAAATAACTAGTATACAGCAAACACCCAAATTTCGTAAATTCTACGTTTTTCCCCCTTATCTGTTATTTAACTTTGAGAAAGGCTGACGGACAACTGTACCCACAGAAAAAATTTACGGATCCAATGCTATTACACTTGAATGTATCATAAAATAGGATCGATATAGCGCCAATCATATTTATTATAGAGAAAGGGTATTTTAATCTTAAATGAAAAATTCTAAAATCTAGAATAAAATGATAGTATGTATCGTCTTTTATCTAATACCATGGTGCCAACTTGGTACGTTGTAAGATGGAGGGAAAATTTATTCTAAACGCAAGAATATGCAAACCCACATTTATATAAGTTACTCTTGTCTCAATGTAGTAAGTCAGTCTTTTTTAATTTGATATTGTCTTATTTTTATGCTAAATAATGTTGTGAGAAATATAAATGCGTCAAGAATATTTTTGTCTCGGTAACAAAAATCCTTTCTGAGGGTGTGAACTTGCGGCGTAAATTCGTTATTCCTCACGGAGAAAAGTAGCTGTCGTAACTAAAAACTGCACGTGCTACGTTTCAATTGTAATATTGTGGACAGCCAACATCTTGGTTGTGATAGTTACGCTATTTAGTTAAACAGAGTTTAGTTTACGTTACACACAAGACTTGGCTACAGCACATATTTTAGTTAGCAGTTATGCAATGCAGCAATTAGTTGTAGCGTGCACACTATTTGTATACGAGATACAACTTTCACGTTGCAAATTTCACTTTTGCTATGCCAATAAAAGTGACGCTGTATTCAAAATACCTATGCTCTGTAGCTAAAAGTGTATTAAAGGTACATTAGGTGCGACAGCAAATCGTGTTGGTTTAGAAATTTATAGTCACGGCAGTAAACACGAATTTAACAAACAACAATTAGGTGTGGTAACGAAAATCTCACTTTCCGTGCTTTTCCGAACTATTAAGAGAAATTGAAGAATGAAAAATATTAGTATTTTCTAATGCAACGGTGCGCCTGCGGTACCTTCTGCAATATTAAAAGTTACCGTGTGTATTTTCCTTATATTGAAAACAAACGATGTACCTGTTACACAGAATCAATATTTTTATTGCATTTTTCTGTAAGCATCGGGCGTACAAAGAGATTTCATAGTGCAACGAATTCATGCGAAACTCAAAAGCAGTAGCACTCTAAAGTCTCTAAACGACAGGATTGTACAAAGCGAAGCAATAAAATTTCCTTCTCAGGGATCTGCTACTTGACTTAATAGTTAAAGACACGCGATTACAAGCTGAAGAATTAAAGGTGTACGGTTTTTCGCAAGAAACTGCGCATTTCTGTCTTTAACCACGTTGAACGAACAGATCGCAAATACCATTTTATTGCTTCTTCTTATTCTCCCTGGAAACGTATCTCGCAAGATGCGCTCGGCAAGTTTAAAAAAGCGGAAAGAGCGAGAAATACCAGTCGTAAGTTTGCGCCGACCAGTTCTTCTGACCAATCTTTCAAAAGCGAGCGTAGCTTTATTTCCGGTCACGATTTACCGCGGAACTACGTATCGATGGCTGCTATTAGAGAGTGCAGCTCCAGCCGCTATAGGGAGATGGTTTAGAGTTTGGATCTTTGTGGCCTCGTCGATCGCCATACATTTCACGTTGCGCGGCTTACGGCAGATCGCAACACTGGCGTAATCTCTTTTTCTTCGGGCTAAGCCCGTACCGAGCACCTTCGAGCACAGAGGACGGTTCTATCGCGCGATCTATTTCCAAGTTAATTACCGGCGAAATAAAGAAGTAGGTCGGCTTGTCCTACAATGAGTACGGAATATCGCGCAGGAAAATTGCGATAACGAGTCGCCGAATTTAATTCGAGTCCAGCTCCGAAGCGCGAATATCTCCGGCATTTTTTTTTACCGTTAACGTAATAATTAAATGCAGTAATTAACCATATTCTTGTATTTAACAGTTTTATATGCGTGCTTTGAATCCGGCGGACATTGTTTTTTTTCATCTTCGAAATGTGTTTATGAGAAGAAAATTACATCTGTATTAATGGACGTTTGTATTTTCTGTTTTAGCGTATAAAAACAATAAGATCGAGAATGGAAATCCACTTTTCCGAATACGTGAGCAAAATTTTGCCTTCGCGTAACGAATTAAGTCCACGTTAATGAAATAACTGATACAAGAGCCATTCACGTGGGTAAATTTCTTGAATCTATCCCATCTGCAAATAAATCTCATATTAATCTTTCCCTCGGGGGACACAAGTGCGTTTATCTCGACGAAAATAATGTAAGATAAGCGCGCTGAGTAAATCTCGCGTGCTTTTGTGTGTACTCCACAGGAGATTGTCCTGCGCTCCTCTCCTTTCGAGCTGCATAAATCGCATCACCTACCGTGATCTTCAGGTCCCGCGAGTCGCATGTGTCGTATCGTCTACTGAAGCGGAGCACTGTGTGCGTCTTGTTCTCGTAACCCAGTAACAGCCGGTAGTCCTGGCTCGAATCCATCTGCGGATCTCTGCTGGCACCCTTCATGTGCCGGTCCTGGAAACAAGCGAAGACTTAATGTTAAGATCCGCGCCAACGGGACCATAAAATATAATGCGTCGTCGAGACGCTCCGCGCACTTGCGCTCTCGCGACACTCTTTCCTTTTTGCCAGAAAGTCGAGATTGTCACAAGTGAAAGGATATCACGTCGAGAGACAGCAAAAATTCTTCGAGACCGAAACAAAAAAATGTGCTCGTCCAGCTTTTACAACGTTGCTTATAAATTTTATAGCGTTTCCGCGCGAGCAATATGTAACGAGGGGATATGAAAATACGCTGGCAATAATTCTCGAGTTTTTACCCCGAGAAAGTAATATCAACAATATCGAATGTTCCAATATTGGGACTTGATAACGAATGGATTAATATCGCTGCACATTTATTCGGCGAATATTCATGAAATATTCTAATGGTGACGCGTCGCATACGGGATATTAAACCGTTACTTAACGAATCACGACGTGAGCGTGGCCCGTCGACACTTGTGCAGCGGGGTTTCAATTCTAGACGCGCGCGAACGAGGAAGGCGGGCTCGGCTTTTTCTCTAACGAGCCAGGCACTCATCGACAACGCACCGACGTGCAGAGGACGCGTCGTCACCGGCGCAGTTAGCCTGTCCTGCAGTTCGTTTCAAATTTATCCGCGGCGCCGGCTCGTTACCGTTAGCAGTTAACGACTGATTGGTCATCGACGTTGTACGTAAATGAATAGAGCCTGTACCATAATTTGCCCGATAATATCCGCGCTCGCGCGCGCGTCTTTACGGCCACCTCGTTTGGCTTCGCGGGCGCGAATTGACGCGAAATTGGATATGCCTCTCGTAATAATAATCGATCCTCGTAACGACGACGATCGTGGGACTGGCGGACGCCTTTCCCATGCGTGACTACTCTCGTATGTACAGTTAGCCAGTCGAGAACCGGTAACGCTCCTATCCGCGATCTCGCGTGAAATACGAATTTATTACTCGGCCCGCTGGCGACACGCGGCCACGTGCGTTTTTCCCCACTTCGCTAATTTATTTCGCTTTTCCGACTAGCGCAGCAGGTCCAGCCTGGCAGTGCTAATTTGACACCAGAGTCGCCAGGTTCTTCGTGATAATTTATGCGTTAAATTAATATTATCATTAGAATTGTAGTGCCGACAATTCATATCCGTCTTTCTTTCTTCCCTGCTGAATAGCGGCCTAAAATGTTCGCACATTTTTTTAAATTTATACCAAATATAATATTTATCTTAAACTTCGAATTTAGTCTTTTCGGTTCAACGACTTATATTTAGTCTTTGTCTTAATCTATCGCGTTGATCGAGAATCTTTCTGATCCGATAACACGCGCACATAATGTGACCACTATGAAGTTGGCACCTCATGTCTCAAAAAATTATTTTTTTCTTAAGTTCTGAATGCACCCCGAAGAGTTCTAGAGTTCCTTATTTATTTAAAAAATAGTTCTGGCGGATTAACCTAAAAAAATTAAATTTGAAACTTGGGGATGCTAACTTCACAAAATGAAATCTCGAAATCAGCGATAACACTAAAAGTATTGGAAATATTTAATTTTGCCATTAGGATTTCCTTTAGAATTCTTGAGGGGCTACTCGATAAAACAGGCTTGAAGCCTAATACACGAGGAAGAAGAAGAAGAAGAAGAAGAAAAGTTCAGAACCTACATGGAGACACTAAGGCACTGCTCTTCAACGACTTCGATAAAACTTGCAGCAATGATAAAAGTTACTATCTAATCAATGCATGTAGAGTATTGATTAGATAGAAAAAGCGCCAGCCGGAAGGCAGCACTATCGACACGACGTGTACCGTGAAAATATTCAGCAGCTTATTATACGCTGCTATTTTACGAAGTTGCGTATTGTGTTTAAGATATGCTCGACTAGAGATCCTAGAAGGAGCTTTTAAAAAGCGCAAGGCAAGGAGATGCGATGAAGAACTTGTATGCTTCCATTGTACCTTAAATCCGGATAATGAGATTGAACGGATAAGTCACGTAAGATCGACTACGGGTCTAGTAAAATTAATATTTTACCTTACTTAAAAAGCAGACGAGGATCGCGATAACGATCGACGTAATAATGAATTCTCGTGAAAGAGATTCAATGTTCCATTTATACCATAATATGTTTGTCGTGTCTTTCATTTTTCTTTACTTATTTCGTTTAATGACGAAACCTTTTGACTTGTGAATTCACAATCTTTATTATAATTTGGATTGCACGCCTTAGGCGGCTTATTTCCACGTTCTTGGTATAGAAAACGACCGCTGAGTAACCAGAAAACGCTGAATAATCATAGCGGTGACTTTAAATTTTTGCTAATTATCTAACGCTCGGACGCTTTTGTTCCGAATACCATCGGCCTTTTTATTACGCGCGCGCACCGATTTCTTGCACGATGTCGATATTAGAATGCCATTCTATCGTCTTACAAAGAAACGGCCGTTGCCGACAAAAACTAGCGGCGTCGCGCCTGCCTCGCCCTTTTCCCTCGCCGATCGAGTTTCTCGTTCGCGACGACGATCGTCGAACCGAGACGACTGTGAGCTCCCGTCGCAAGGGAGACAAAGGGCGAGAACGAAGGTAAAAGTTAAGGCGAGTTTATACATAGATTCTTGACGATAGGGATCGAAATCGCTCGAAAAGTGAAAGCGGAATGAATCGCGCAATCGATACTTAAACAAAAAATTGTTGAATGATAAAAGAGCCGTTTACCGTTTGGCCAGACGATCATTCAGAAGCTCTGGGATTTCATTCCACTTTTTATGTCACTTGATCTGTAGACGTACAATTAGTGCGACACATCCCATGTTTAACGATGTGACGATTTTATGATTAAGCCTCTTCATTGCCATTTGGACTAATCACGCGCAGTAATAATATACAAATCGAGTTCCGCGTGTTCGAGGTGGGAGGAACCGTGGGTTTTAAAACGCGAGATGAAAGTTGGGAGTTGAGAACTCGGGGGCCGAGAGTTTAGGAAACCGACGGCTCACGGTCGCGAACCGAGAGTTTACAGTTGCACAAACTTGACGCGTTTGCACGTACATATATACGCGTCGTATGTTTACACTTTAAGGGTGATATGTAATTGAGTTATTGTACAGATCATACGGGTGGAGTCCCCGACGTCGTCTCATTCTTTCTCACGTTGTGATGTTTTTAAGGAGGCAACGAACGCCCGCGTCGGATCGGCCGCGAATCGGGTAGCCCACTTTTAGCGCGATACATTCGAACAAAAACGCGTTCATCCAATTTATTTTGGATGATTCATCCGGGGTAATCATCGGGAGCGAACCGTGTAAATTCGCCTTTAGTTAGGCGACTGCGAGCGGCGTTCCTGGGGACTCCTCAGCCCCTTAAGGGGCCGAAGACAAGTTTTTCTGGCGAGATTCCGTGCCGCCGCCTCGATATAATTATCGCGGCGCGGCTGCTCCTTCGGAAGAAGCGCGCCGACGCCTTCGGACGATTTCGTAGCCATTGTTCCATTGTGAGGATCGTGCCCCTCCACCCTGCGCGGCTCTCCGGCGCGGCTTTATTAAAATTTCATTTAGCCGCGAGCCACGTACCTGCGCGTGCTGCGTGATTCCCAACGAGTCACGCGTGTTATGTCGCCCGGTACCGGACACCCTTCATCCTTGTCCCTTATCTTTCGCCTGTTTCTTTTTCCCTGGCTGATGTTCTCACCTGGGCCGCGTCACGTCGCCTTTGCGGACGTCAAGATATGCGAAGGGAGAAAGAATAGCAACGGGGGCTAACGTCGACTCGCGTTAGCTTCAGAAAGGCGAACGCGCGCGAAAATAACTCAGTCGGGAGAAAGAGAGAAAGGTGATAAATTGAATGAAAAGCTGAGACTGAAGTACTATTATGTACACGATGAATATACATCTCCAACTTTTGCGGGCAGAAAGTTGAATTGTAGGATACATCAGAAACTGATTAACAGCTTTCCGGATTAATATTTATCGAGTAAAAATATTAATTGCGTGCTTCAACTTATGAGATATCAAATAATGAGATTTAACTTTCTGAATATTGTTTATCTGGTTGTTCTTTAAAAGAACAACAAATCGACAGCGAATAAGCTTTTATGCACAAAATAGTACCAGGATAAGTTGCGGACCGCATAGCAGAACATTTTCATACTTAAAACACTCGGTTCAGAAGTCTAATAAAAAAGATATTGGTATTTGAAATTTTTAATTCGTAGTTCTAACTAAATTTGAAATTGGCTTTATAAAATTAAAAAATTCTACCACACGATTAAAGCACGCACGAAGACAAAACCAGGATCAGTCATCTTTATATAAAAAATCGTCGGCTTTATAAACGATTGAGGTTGGCCATTGCTATCCTGTTTCCTGAATCCTCTTAAGTAGACGTTTCACTATTTTAATTTTACGCGGCAATATTTTCGTGATTATAATTCATTTGTTCAGACAGCTTTTAGTCTTGCAAGTTCTTTCCGTTGTGCAACTGCCTGCGGACGGTATGTGGTTACTCAAAGGTAAGAGGGCCTTCTCTGACGAAGGATTCGAATTCTTGCACGAGAAAGGGCTTTACCGGCGACGAGCAAGGCTTTGAACCTCAGGCGAGCTGGTATTGCTTCCAAGTTCGGCGTTTTGATGAAAAATTGAAAGAAAGTACGCATGCGTTTCGTACTTAAGTACCTTTCGTGTCTCGCAAATGCGATATCGAGCCGTAAGGTACCGCGATAAGACGCAAAGAAATGTACTTTATCTTGAGAAAATTGGCAGATCGAGAACGACGATGGCGCGCTGTCTTAGACTCTTGCAATGATAACGGAGTATTTTTGCAGAGCAATACAAGTTACTATCGCATCATTTTAATAAATAAATGCATACGCGAGACTTTAGTTTCGTCTCTAAATAAAAATACTTGATATAGTTCCGTAATAATTACGTTCAACAATGTCTTAAATTTAGTGTCTCGCTTTTCATTATTGCGGAATTCCGAAGTTCGTGCA